GCCATTGTTGGGATTCTCCATTTTAAACAAGATCGTAATCTCAGTACAAGTAGTATTATTCATTAATTCTTAAACGTATATCCCACTCAAGGCTTGTTTAAAAAGACAAAGATAAAAACCTGCTAAAATGTAGATTGAAAATAAACTAAAACAATCTCACACATGGGGCACAGCTGAACAAGGTCTATGATCAGATTCCCACAACGTCTTTTAATTTTATTTAAAACAGTCACAGGCTTAATGCTCCATCTCCAACACCCTCAGTGAAAATCAGAGAACTCAAATGCATCATCTATTTCAGCTCTTATTCACTGCTGCCCAAAGGCTCTGGATTTAAAATAATTTAGCAGTCCTGTGCAGACTGTAGTATCAGCGTCTACGCATGCAGCAGAATCAACATGTCAGCTTCTCCTGGGCTGTGCATGAAAATTCTGTGGCGCAGGCAACCAGTTTGTCTCCTAAAACATGGTCCAAAAACTCTCCTGTGCAGAGTTTGATGCTACAGATTCTTCAGATGTTCCCTGAATGCTCAAATATTAACTGAATGCTTTATGTCTGTATTTGACACTCAGTGATGGATGATCTATCTGGCAGTAGATATCTGTAACATTTTAATTTCAGAGGGTAGTCTTGCTGGTCTGCAGTAGAACAGCTAGGTTTGAGTCCAGTAGCACCTTCGAGACCAACAACATTTTTGGGGTATAAGATTTTAAGAATCAAAGCTCCTTTAAAAAAAAAGTTCCAAAAATTCTATTGGGAAATATAAATAAGAGTTTCAGAATTCTGAATCTATAGATCTAATTCCCAAGTGTGCCCCCTATCTACGGATATCTAAATCCACAGATTAGGTGACTCCCTAGGTTTGCAGAAAAATCTGAAAAGTTAAAAAAAAAATACATTGGGGGGTTAAATTCCCCCCAAATAAAAAGCATTGTCTGTGCATGCACGGACAATGCACTGACCTTTGAAAGTTCCAGCCATGGAGGCTGCTGCTGAGGTGGCAGTGGAGCCTGGGAGGTGCTGCTGGGCCCAGCCTGCCTGCAGCCACATCAGGCAAGCCACTGAAAGCCAGGGGGTGACAAAAGCAAGGGGGAAAGCAGCAGAGGGAGGCCTCAGCAAACCCACCTGGAGCAGCTCTGGGCAAGCCTCTGAGAGCCAAAGGGAAGCCTGGCTGCTCCAGGCAAGCCAGCAAGGGCGGTGGGAGAAGCTTGATTGGCCCACCTGGTGCAGTTCCAGGTGAACTGCTGAGAGCAGAGGGGGAAACTTCAGTGGGCCTTCCTACTGAGCTGAGCTGCTGAAAACTGTGAGTGAAGAGGGAAGCTTGGCAGGTCTGCCTGGCATGCCACTGAGAGCAGTGGTGGTGGTGGGGGGCTCAGCAGGCCTGCATGGAGCAGCTCTGGGGGGCCGCCAAGAGCTGTAGGGAGGAGGGAAGCTTGGTAGGCCTGCCCAGATTAACTCCAGCAAAGCTGCCAAGAGTGGCGGGGAGAAACTCGGTGGGCCAGCCCATAGCTGCTCCCTGTGAGCTGATGAGGGAGGGGAAGGAAGCTTGGCTGGCCCACCCACAGCAGCTCAGGCAAGCTGGCGGGGGAGGGGAGAGGGAAACCTTGGTGGGGGGGCAGACAGAGAGAAAGAGAGTGCTGGGGTAGCAGGGCAGAAAGAGAGAGAGAGAAACTGGGCTGGGGGCAGAAAGAGTGAGAACGAGGAAGTGATGGGGTGGGAGGCAGAGAGAGTAACTGGCATGGGGGAGAAAGTAAGTGAAGGGGTGGCAGGATGGAAAAACAGTGACGTAGGGGGAGAGGGGAGCATCCCTAAACTCAACCTATCTCATATGATTGTTGTGATGATGAGAGAGGATAACCCCGCATACTTCCAGAGCCTCTTAAAGGTTTGACCTATTGATGTCATGACTACAAGCACTGTCCGAAGTGAAAATCGTTTCACATATAAATTGGTGGTAATCAGGGATGGAGGTGGGGGGAAGAGTGCCCTCACTATTCAGTTTTTCCAGAAGTTTTTTGTGCCAGATTATGATCCAACCATCGAAGACTCATGCCAGAAACACACTGAAATAGATGGACAATGGGCCATTTTGGATGCCCTGGGCGCTGCAGGCCAGGGAGAATTCAGTGCAATGAGGGAGCAGTATATGGGGACAGGAGATGGGAAAGTTGATCTAATGCATTTATGAAAAATCGTCCAGGAGCAAGGAAAAGAAATGGCAGCAAAGCACACTATTCCATACATAGAAACCAGTGCTAAGGACCCCACACACACACACACACACACACTAAATCTTGACAAAGCCTTCCATGATCTTGTTAGAGTAATTAGGCAACAGGTTCCAAAGAACCAGAAGAAAAAGAAACAAAGTGGTGAGGAGACAGAGCCACTACTTCCCCACAAACTGCAGTGTGTAATTTTGTGACTGTTTCTTCTGTGGGTTTTTTTCCATCCCAACCCTGAAGGACCCTATCACATACCTGCAGTGTTAATCTGCTTGTTAACGATCGTATTTGTATGCTAATTTACTGCCATTCATAGATCTTACCAAACTCCTTAAACTCTATGTTTTCCCCTCAAATGGCTGTGCCCCACCCCCAGCGTGCCCGGGGTCATGACGTCACTTCCCTGTGACGTGCATGCGGGGGTGGGGTTTCCCCCGGGGCCCGATTCTGCGGGGGTGGAAATTGGGCCTCCAAAGCGGGGGGGAAATCCACCCCCCGGGGGGATTTGGCAGCCCTATTTAAGAACAACAAAGTTTTATTCAAGGTACAAGCTTTTGTGTGCAAGCACACTTCACCAGATACAGTGAAACAGAATTTCCTCAACCATTACATATAAGAAGAGAGAAGAGAAGGGGTGGGTTGCCAGAAAGGGCTAATTAGAGCCAGAAAGGGCTAATTAGAGTCAAGATGCATAAGTAACTGGGCAATTATAGCTGAGATTAGTTTAAGGAGTTTGGTAAGATCTATGAATTTCCCCTCAAATGGCTGTGCCCCGCCCCCAGCATGCCCGGCGTCATGACGTCACTTCCCTGTGACGTGCATGCGGCGCGTGCTGGGAGCCAGCACAAAGTCCCGCGCCGGCAGAGGTAAGTCGATTTGGCAACCCTAGTCTTAAAAGTGCCACTGGACTCAAACTTTGCTCTGCTGCAGTGTTAATATTTGAAGAACAGTAATTATCTCATGAAAGAACAATAGGGAGCAAAGCCTGATGCATTTTTGAAACCAAATGGCTGCTTGGCAAGCTGTGCAGGATTGTTTTTAAAGGCACTCCCAACAAAGGGGACAAGCAGAGACCAGTGGTTTATGAATGTCAACCATCACCACCACAAAGAATATTCTGGTTTAGGCCAATTTCTAACCAGTCGTGAATGACTCCATTTTGTACAATCATGTTATGTGTTAGGGTCAGCAGTTAATTTGCCCAGCAAGAAAGAAATACAGTGGATTTGTTTTCTCTTGCACTGAACACTCCCAGCTATACACACCAATGCCAAACTGCAGCTTCATAAGAAAGTGGATAGATTTGGAGATAGAAAATGAATTCCAGCTGCTCTGGGGACTCTGGACTTTGTTTCAGAAACCGGAGTGTAGCTAGCTCTCAGTCTGCAAGCTCTACCAAAGACAATGGAGGAATGGGCTTGGTTTGTTAGTTGCTGTTTTTATTGTTGCTGTAGTTATCCTTGTTGTTAATCCCAGTGGGGGGAGGTGCTTTGGGGAGCTTGTCAAGGCTGGGGGATGACAGCCATTTTGCTAATCTTGAAAATATTTAAATTAAAAGTAATCCAGTTTTGAAAAAAAAAAGAAGTAGGAGGAGAGGGGAGGAAACAAAGGTGGGGGGATGCCCCTTGCCCACAAGTTTCTTGTGAGTCCCCACTTGTATTTATGATTATTCGCTTTGGTTGTAGGAATATCATTTTTAATACTTCCTTTATGAAATATACTTCATGTACATTTTTTAAAAAAACCTTTCATATTGGGCTTGCCTAGAACCATGCTTCATGACAACTAATTTTTTTTTTTTTTGGTCCACTAGAAATGAATCTGATAGTAGAGCTTTCTAAATATTTGAGTCCACCTTTTGCAGTGCAGGCTGAATGCTCCAGTCTAGGAGAATCTACACCATCTGGTTCTGCTGCACATGTGGTTTGGCAGGAAAAACAACTAATTCTAGCTGGCTAGTGCTCCACTACCTCTCAAATAGGATAAGCTCTTCTCGCTTCTTTGTGTATGTAGGTGGACACTACATTTGTGACTTCAGTGACCTATATTTGTAAAAGCATAGCACACAAGCCCTACATTGTTCATTGGCTTGGATCCCATGGTAAATTACTGCCAAAGGAAGGGATTCCCATCCTTGGAAAAGACTTCTTCACCTCCTCCCACCCACTGTTGCCAAAATGATCCCCAAAATGCTGCTCCTGAGGGGCCAGTAGGTTCGCCAGGTCTGGGTTAGGAAATACCTGGAGATCTGGGAGGTGGAGCCTGAGGAGGGCGGGGATAGAGAAAGGAGGGACCAGTGGGGTATAAATGCCATAGAGTCCACCTTCCAAAGTGACAATTTTCTCCAGATGAACTGATCTCTCTCGCCTGGAGATCAGTTGCAATTCCATGATATCTCCAGCCACCACCTGGCAGTTGGCAACACTAGCAGGCACACCATGAGAGGGGTAACTGGAGTTCGGCAGTGGAAGAAGGAAATCATCACCCACCCCCCTTCCATTTGCAGAATGAGGGATCCAAGCCCTTGTGTGCATGATTTAGACTACACCTGTTTTCCTGTTATCCTGTCTCTCCGTTAAATAATGAACATCCTTCACATTTACATACACACATTGTAATATATTTAGTCTATAATCTGTATGTATGTATATATGTATTTACATCCAAACACCCCTGCTTTCCGCTGCTTTACATCCTTAAGCACATACATACTGAAGCCTGTCCTCCCAACTCATTGTGGTACACTTCATGGAGACCTAGGTTTTCCTTCCTTCTTCATGCTGTAGATGGCTGTGTGAAGCTCCTCTGACTGGAGCTTTTGAGACTCAGGACAAACGTGGAGGAGTTGCTTTTCTTGCTGACGCTGAGGTCGCACCCTTGTCGTGATTTTAAATAGCGGGAGGAGCAGCAAAGGAATCGGTGCAGGAGGTCATGGAATAGATGACCGGTGAAAAGCATGTAGATCCAAGGGTTGCAACAGCTGTTCAGACTCGCCAGGAGTGTAGTGATTATGAATGGTAATGCTGTCGGAGAAAACACATAAGAAGGAAATCAGTAACGTGCCATTCTGTGCATTTTCATTAAAACAGAAATCACCAACGTGCCCAAGGCCATGAGGGTTAGGGGACAATGGGAGAATCCTGTTTACCAAATCACAGCTCTTCCTGACGATACAGTGCAGGCATTGGCAACAGAGAGACAGATGGAACAAAACATGAGTCAGTAGGTACTAGATGTGTGGCAAGGTAGCCATGTTACCCTGTTGCAGGAAAAGTAAACAGAAGTCTTGGGGCACCCACAAGACTAACAAGGTTTTATATCAGCAGAGATTTTTGGACTAGAGCCCAGTTTCACAAAAATGTATGTGGAATAGAATGTTGTTAGTATTTCAAGTGCTACAAGATTCTTGTTTATTTTTGTAGCACATGGTTGTAGAAGGGCTGGCCCTACCATTAGTGCCATGGTATAGGGAAGCCAGCCTCCAGGTGGGACCTGGGGATCCCCTGGAATTACAGCTCATCTCCAGTCTACAGAGATCAGTTCCCCTGGAGAACATAGACGCTTTGGAGGGTGGACTCTATGGCACTGTACCCCTCTGAGGTCCCTGTCCCCCCCAGGCTCCATCCCCAAATCTCCAAGAGTTTCCCAACCTGGATCTGGCCACCCCATCTCCCCACGTCTCCTGACAGTGGCCAGAGGGACATGGCAACGATACGGGGGCAGCCTGCAAATTCTATCATAGCTTTAAAGATAGCATTATTGTCAATCATTTAATGGGTATACTTATACCAAAACTGGCCATGTCATTTGTGTTTACTGCCTCAGGCTGTGCTTCAAAATCTCTTAGGCCTTCCATGGGCCCCTTGATCATATGGAGAGGGCTACAGCTGAGGGGTTTGTTTCCTGATGGACGACTTAGGGGGAAAAGTTAGAGAGGTGTGGGGGGGAAGTATGGTGTGTTCAAGTGTGAGGAAATAATACTTTTGCAGGCTTTTTGAAAAAGGCTTTGCTTACATCTATTAAATTGCCCGTCTTCTTTATTCATTTCAAAAATAAATTGTTGGTAATCCCACTGTGTCTAATCCAGTTTTACTGCTCAGAGAGAACTGGCAGACTACCCCATATCATTTCTAGGCAGGGGCTTCCAGATGTTCCACTCAACACACAAAATCAGTTATTTCCAGATATTAGGACAGAAGAAGTAGGTCCTCATCTGACCTGTAGAGAAATCAAGTTCAGCAAGTCAGACTTTCCCACAACTTTGAAAGCTTTCCATTCGTACCCCCAAATTTTCACCCACTGTTCCTTTCTCCTCCCCAAATTTGCCCACTATCTCTTATTGCAGCAATGGAGGGAAGTAAGCAGTGGGATCCCACAAGGATCAGTACTGGTGCCGATACAATTTAATTTATTCATAAATTACCTGGAACTAGGGGTGAGTAGTGTAGTGGCCAAGTTTGCAGATGACACAAAATCATTCAGGATGGTGAAAACCAAGGATGGCTGTGAAGAGCTCCAAGAGGACCTCCACAAACTGGGTGAGTGGGAGACAATGCGGCAAATGAAGTTCAATGTTGGTAAGTGTAAGGTGATGCACATCAGGGGGGAAATCCTAACTTCATGTGTACACTAATGGGGTCTGAACTTGCTGAGATGGAGAGGGGGGGGAATCTTGGGGTCGTAGTGGATAGCTCAGTGAAAGTGTCAATCCAGTGTACTGCAGCAGTGAAAAATGCAAACTCTGTGTTGGGGAATACTAGGAAAGGGATTGAGAATGAGATGGCTGATATAATAATGCCCTATATAGATCTATGGTCTCATTTGGAATACTGTGTACAGTACTGGTCACCGTATCTCAAAAAGGACATGGCAGAGCTGGAAAAAGTACAAAGGAGGGCAACCAGGATGATTAGAGGGTTGGAGCACCTTCCCTATGAGGAAAGGCTGAAGAGTCTGGGACATTTTGGTTCACAAAGGAGATGACTGGGGGGAGGGCATAACAGAGGTTTATAAAATTCAATTTATAAAATTCAATTCCCCACGCTGGTGTGACTTTGGGTCAGTCACAAGTTCTGTCAGAGCTGTTCTCTCAAGAACAGTCCTTGAAAGAGCTCTCTCAGCCCCACCTACCTCAAAGGGAGGGGGAAGGGAAAGGAGATTGGAAACTGCTCTTGAGTGAAGGCCAGGGTATAAATCCAATATCTTCTTCTTCTCTTCCTCTTCTTCCCTATTTCTACTAATTTCACAAGACATTCCCCTGTCCTTCCCCACTAATTCAGTTAGCACATTCTCGGTTCTATAGTTTTCTCTTGATAAGACACCTAAATCCCATGTGATTCCATTGTTATCCTGTGCCCCTCCAATACTATAACTAGTTTGGCTTTAGAGCCAGAAATTTTAGAGTAACCTTGCACTGCATCACAGCCTCCGAATGCACTCCATCTTCCTTCCTGATTTCTATGCAGATGAGGAAAGGTGTATCTTTGCTTTCCTATCTTAATCTATGTCCCCTTATTTTCCAACCCATACCACACTACACAGAGAGCTGGCATTTTGCTTCTCTCTGCTAGTTGGAGCCTTATGCTTGGAAGACTGGGCATCTCTTCTCCAATGGACCCTCCTCCTCTATCCTACTCCAATTTCCCCCGCGTTTACACCTCTAGCTCAAAAGAAACTTTTGCATCCCAGTAGCTCTGGTTGATTTCTGTTTGATGTTGTGATGTGTTTGGGTAGGAATGTGCCGTTTGTCTCTGCTTGTGATAGAGCATTTGCTTAGGATGTCACTCCCTCCCTAACATTGTACCAAATTCCCCAATAAAATCTGTATTTCTTTTTGAACCTGAATATCTGGTCTCTGTCATTATTTTTCTAGTGTATGTGCTACTCTTTGGGTAAAAGATCTCTATTCTCCTCTCCCTGTATAGAAACGCAAGCCAATTCGCTGTTTTTTCTAAATGTATGTTCATCTATTTCTGGAGGTGTGGTAACATACACACACATTCATAAATTTCAAAATGGCAGCCACAAAAGTGGGCATATTACAGCAGATAATAAGCAATGGCATGAGACAACTGCAGGAGCATTTGATAGAACACTTGGGGGCAGCAGAGAGCAACAAAGGCAACATTAAATGGTACAGGATGCAGTATTTCACTCCAGCTTGGTTCCCAAGCTCTAGACCTAAACCCTGATTCTGGATGCTAGTCCCCTTGCACAGTTCTAAAGTCCCCTTGCATCCACAGTAAAATGCCATGCAGGGCTCTTTTTGTAGCAGAATCTCTTTTGCATATTAGGTGACACACCCCTAATGTAGCCAATCCTCCAAAAGCTTACAGTAGCCCCTGTAAGAAGAGCTCTGTAAGCTCTTGGAGGATTGGCTACATTAGGGGTGTGTCGCCTAATATGCAAAAGAGTTCCTGCTACAAAAAGAACCATGAATGCGTAAAAACCTTCTTGCATTTAAGCCGTGTTGCAACAAACATTTTCTGCGAAGCCAGAACTGTATTTGCACTGGCATGGAGGCATTATGGTTTGTTCTTTGTTTGTTCTACAATAAAGGTGTCAAATCACTAAAGTGCAATTACAGGATGATTGGTCGCCACTGTGTAATGTTCAAGGGGAATACAGATCTTTCAAACTGCTGTAGTTGCACAGCGGGGGGGGGGGGGATGGAGCAGGGGGGGGGGGGGGGGATGACAAAAAAACCCCTAAAAGACACTTTCAACACATTAACTACTGTTAAAATTACCAGTCATTTTGCCTGTTTAATGTTAGGGTGTTGTTTTGTGAGGGCTTCTTTTGCCCATTCATGGCTTAATCAGAAACATTTATACTAAAAAAAAAAAAGTTCTTGTAAATTCTCTTCCCAATGGCATAGAATATCCCATAATCTCCCTCCCACGTCACCCATTTATAATCACCCAAATCCTAAAAAATAACAGTTTCATAATAACAAATAACTTGCAAGAAAACACTACTACAGATTGTAATATAATATTTCCTAGTCTTCAAAAATGAATAGGCTTGTGACCTCAGTCATCCCTACAAAAACATCAGCAGTCTCAATAGCTGACTGTAAATGTTCAAAATACAAAGAATTAGAGGGAAATTAGGATAAATCAGGTACCAGTGGGGAGTCTGCTTCTGCCCCATGATGTGATGAGGCAGAAGGCTGCTAGGTGGAGCCAGGGTGAACAGCTGGATGGGCAGGTGGAAGGCTGCAGTGGCCCCCCTATTTTATGTGGCCACATTCTTCCTAACCAGTCTGAATCTCAAGCTGTGGGCCACTCAGCTTCCTGGCAGTTGCTATGCTGGAAATGCAATGGTTTCATTTCCAGTTTAGCCACACTCAGTTTTGTCTGTGGTCCAATTAGTCTGTGCTGTGTAACAAAGCAATATGGTTTTAGGTCGTGTCCCCCCCCCAAAAAAAGTGAAATGCTATACCAACCCACCCTACCCCACTCCCACCCACCCCCCAGTGCCAAGGGGGGGCGGGACCTGGCAACCCTAACTTGAAGCAGTAGTTGGGACAGGAGTAGCTGGTGGGCTTAGGGGCCAACAGGATCTTTGGGGGTCTCTTCTCAATTGACAATGGGAGCTGCCATTTCCCCCTTAATTGGCATTGGTAGCAGGTAAAGAGGTAATGTAATTCATTCTACTTGGACTTTGTTCATCACAGTTAATTAGGTCACAGTGCTTGTCATGTGGGAGGAGGGATGACAGCTCCTGAACCTGCGACTCCAAGAGGCAGCGGGAAAGTAGTGCAATTTGCCAAAGCAGGTGGGGAAAAGAGCCAAATTGGCACGACACTGCTGTCTTTGTGATTGGGGGGAGGGGGAGATGAAGTCTCTTTAAGAGTGGGCATCAGTCCCACTCCCTTCCCTTTTTGACCATCGGAGATGGACCATCACATTTAATTAGGTCATTGTGCATGTCCAGTGGGAGGCAATGTTCCCTCTAAGCTGTGGAGTCCTGTGAGCAAAATTTCTACTTCGTGAGCTACTGCCATTAAAGTTGTGAGTGA